CTTTTCTTTTTCTGATTTAAAAAAAATCAATTCTGACTTCACTACCTGCTCGCTGGGCAACCTTGGGCAGGTCACTTTCCTTCCATGGGCCTCAATTTCCTCATCTCTAAAATGGGAATAATAGTATTATTAACTTATGGGGGTTTGTAAATATTTAATGAAGTAATGTTTGTAAAGCCCTTGGCACAGTTTTCAGCTCATAGAAAGAACTCAGTTCGGTTGTTGTTGTTTTTATTATAATCAGCAAGATTAGCCCACTAAGAAGAAACAACATGAACCACCTTTCACTAAGTTTCAAGAAAAGAGTCTAACTTTGGAGGAGAGACCCAGAGTTAAAAGTTTGGTGGGGAAGTTCATTTGGGGGTCAGATCTCAGGCAAAAGATCTCAGCAGAAATAAAATGAGTTTGAAAGGTACCTAAATTTCATTCCCTGTTTAGCTTTTCATGAGATGTTTTACCTTGGCCAGTTCATCCTTGCTAAATCTGTTTTCCACTGGCACTTGGTTCCACATTCAAGATTAATTTGTTTCCACCTCTTCTCTCTAGGCAGTTTCCTCTGTCCTGGTCCTCTGCCCTGGCATCCACAGGCCAAGATGGATCCCCTGCCCTGTGCCCATGGCCCCTGTGCTCTGCTCTGCATCACTGTCCAGACCACATTGCAAGTTTTGCTTCCCCTTCTGCTTCCCCTGGGGGAAGTGGCAATGCTTTTCCTGTTTTTTTGATGTACTCCAGCACCTAAGCACTGCCTGCCCACAGGAAGGATGCTCTATAAAGGCTCGAAGGAATGAAAGAGTCAACAAATAGTTATTTTTTATTTTTAGGTATTTATCATTATTATTATTTTCCTGTTCGGAAGTCATCAGAACTCACACAGACGTCCCATGTAAGGTGTGGGTGTCTTCCTCCTACCTGGAAACCCCTTCTTCAGGTGGACAGCTGTCTTGCTGACCGTGCCAAGCCCGCTTTCCCAAACCAACAGACCTAAAGTTTCCCCGGAGCCAGAGGGCACCGGGCGCACGGCTGAGCCTGCACCAATGCCTGTGGGCCCTGCCTCGCCCACCTCCTCGCCCTCCCCTCTGGAGCGCGGCTGGCCAATGACAGCCTTCTCCTGGCTGCATGGGTTTCCCCCTCCCCTGTTGTCTCTACCCTGCCCCAGCTCTTCCCTGCCCACCCCTCGCTGACTCGCCTCGCCTCGCCTCCCCGACGCTCTGGGTTCCCGGAGCGCAGAGCCCAGCGTTAGCGAGTGGGCTCCCCGAGGCCCCCTGCCCTCGCCGGGCTGCTCCAAGGTGTCGCTCCTCTGGCTGCTCCCGAAGGGGCTTCTGGCCCTGAGGACGGTGGTGCCAAGCGAACTTCCTTTTTAAAAAGAACTGGTGGATGAGAAGAGCGAGCGAGGGCGAGCTATGGACCCTGTGAGTCAGGTGAGACAGAACTGGGCAGGGCGGCTGGCTGGGAGCGGGGCGGGGGCCGGGGGGTGCCGCGGCTTGGGAGAGGCACCCCCAGCCCCTTCCTCACGCTTTGCTTTCTCTCTCTCGCCTCGTTCCCCCAAAGCTGGCCTCTGCGGGCACCTTCCGGGTGCTGAAGGAGCCCCTTGCCTTCCTGCGAGCCCTGGAATTGGTGAGTAGCAGTGTGTGCGTACAGGGAGGGGCGCCAGGCAGCGAGCCATCAGGTGAGGAGAGGTCGCATGGGGTGCTCCCTGCTCCGTTCTGCTCCAAGCCGGAGATTCAACCCTCAAGCCGGAGATTTCTATCCTGCCCCCTCCTAAGGTGCCATTCCAAGGTGGTGGGGACAAGATTGAGGCACTCTGCTTGGAGGCGGGAGTGTGGACGCATTTTTGCAGGCGCTTAGACAAGTGTCGTCTCACCTCACCGCTTGCAGACGAGCAGGGACTGTGGAAAGAAACCTCCCCCTTGGGAGATGGGGGAGGGGGACGCTTGGAGGAGCTGCCGCTGGGCTCTGGCCCCTCACCTGGACCTTCGCGGGGATGAGGGGATGGGTGGAGAGACCCATAGCTGAGCGGAGGAGCCGGGAAGACTTGGCCAAGCTCAGAAAGTTGGTCAGAACTGGGACAGCTCCTCGGCGGGACTGGGATGCTGGAAGCGCGTGTTCAATTGCTCCGCGGGAGCTCCAGGGAGGGAAAGATGCTGCGAAGCTGTTACAGACTGTTATAGACGGCGGCGGGTAGAGAGCAGAACTCCTTTCTTCCCTACTATAGTTTCTTTTCTCTGGCCACTCCCTTAGGGCTTTTCTGATTACACCCAGAAGAGCCCACCAGCCTGTTTGCCATGGCTTTCTTCAGCTGCTGGGCTTCAGGAAGTTGTATTCCACTTCTGTGAAACCACCCTGACGCTCCTATTGCAATTTGTGTATGGGCAGAGGAGTGAGGCACAGCAACGGTTACCCACAGGGCCACAGAGCCATGTCAGTGTTGTTGGCTGGATGATGGTTATTCAGAGTGATCTCTGCAGGTCACACGTTTCGTCTTGCTAGGAGCTCCAAAGGCAAGCAAACCTATCTGAATAGAAAGTTCAAAGCCTGTCATGTAGCATTAATCACAGGCCCTAACACTGACTAGCTGGGAAATTATGTAAGAGCCTGTTCTGTGTTCCCAGATCTTAGCTCTAAGGGCTTGTATCTGGCAGTGGCTACATAACTGTGATGATTGTTTACAAGGATGATCTACAAGATAATTACATTTACCTTGTTTGTAGACTTGAATGAAAATGCATGCGTATATCAATTTTACATACACCAAGACAGCTTTTGGAAGGCTTGAATTGGTGGTTCAGAGCTGGCTATTCTCAAACTGTTTGCCTTACAGTCAAGTTAGATAAGCAATCCTCACAGTTCTGGAAACTTTCAGTTTGCTTTCTCAGAATTCTGCCCACATTCATTAATTCAGTCATTCAATAAATATTTCCTGTGAAGTAGTGGCTTTTAGGGAAGAAAATAATAGCTTCATCGTCAAGTTATTATCTCTCAAAACCCAGTTCAAAGACCTGACATCATTTTCTGACATAATCTCTTATTGTCTCACACTCTCACTTACCTGAAATACTAGTTTGTGTTCACTCCAATACTGTGGCAATATGATTTTGTGCCATTGCTCCTCACACAGTCTCTACTGGCATATAAAAAGGTGTTTGTTACCTGGATGAACTTGTTCAAATTACAGATTTCTGTAATCAAAATATTGGGAAGATGGGTGCCCATGAATCTGCATTTTAAATGAGCTCTGTGTATAACTCTTATCCACATTATAATTGGCGAACCACCACTCTAAGCTATACCAGATCCCTCCAAAACTCAAAAGCCTCTTTTACCTCAGTGCCCTGGCTATTTCTATTCACACTGTATGGAATGTCCTCACCTTCCAAGCCTAAAAAAAAAGTTTGTCTTTTACCTCAACTAAATGTTACCTCCTCAGTGAAGCCTTTTCTCCTCTTTCCTCTATCCCAAACTGAATGATTCACCTCATTCTTTGAACTTCCACTAGATTTTTATTCATTCATAAGAATTTATCACACTGCGAAATACTGTTTTATAGTTCCCCCCTCCTGAGGAGGTGTGTGTGTGTGTGCAGGAGATGTGTATGAGAGAGAAAGAGTGAAATAGAATAAAGGTTTCTAAGGTACTATATTTAAATTATTTGCTGTCCTTCCCCTCTATCTTCTAGGATTCTAAGGCTCCAGGGAGGAAGTGCTTTTTGCTTGTACCTCAGTAATTAGACTCTCATTTGTGGAAGAGAACATGAATAATGGACAAAGCAAATTTTAGAAGTCAGATAAGTTAGTTGGTTGCTCTACGTTTTAAAAGAGCTGAGCCAGAGACATGAGGAGAGAGAGAGTGCTAGTTGCTGAAAAAGCTAGTAGTGAACAGAGAGAAAGAACGTACATTCTGTGTGCACAGAATGGCTTGAGGAGTCACTCTGAGGTATCTTTTTCTGTGGGAGATATTGACAATGAGAGGAAATATGATTTCTTATAGATGGTAGAACATTTCTTCTGTTTGTCTCTGTTTCCCTCACTGGTTCCTTTCATAGTGCTTGGTTAAACTGCAAGTAATCAGCAAAAATTGTAAACCGGTAATGACGGAGCACTTAAAATATCCCAGTTTATCCTGTTTCTGTGAAAGTTTTACAAAGCAATAGACAGCAGCTTTAAACTTGACAGTGTATTTAAGCTGCAATTTCCCCATGCTGTAGAAATAAACATGCATGTAAAGATATATGTGTCTTAGTTCTGGGGGTTGCTATAACAAAACACCATAAACCGGATAGCTTATACATGCTGTAGAAATAAACATGCATGTAAAGATATATGTGTCTTAGTTTTGGGGGTTGCTATAACAAAACACCATAAACTGGATAGCTTATACACAACAGAAATTTATTTCTTGTAGTTCTGAATACTGGAAAGTCTAAGATCAAGGTGCCATCAGATTCATTGTTTAGTGAGGGCCTACTTTCTGGTTCACAGATGGAGCCTTCTTGCTGTATCTTCTCATAGCAGAAGGGAAGAACTCTGATCTCATCCGTCCCTTGTAAGAACACTAATCCCATTCACGAGGGCTCCACATTTATGAGCTAGTCATCTCCCAAAGACCCCACCTCCTAAGACCATCACTTTGGGAACTATATTTCAACATGTGAACTTGGGAGGAGGCATAAACATTCAGATAATAGCAATATTCTCAAGAATATTTATTGCAACATCATCTGTAGTGAAAAGAACTGGAAATTACTAGTAAGTCCATTATAAGAAAATAATTAAAGTACGATTCATCATGTTATGAAATATTATATTGCCATTAAAAAGAATGAATTAACCAGGCGTGGTGGCTCATGCCTATAATCTCAGCTCTTTGGGAGGCTGAGATGGGAGGATTGCTTGAGCCCAGGAGTTCAAGACCAGCTTAGTCAACATAGGGAAACTGTGCAATTCTAGAACATATTAATTAAAATATGCCTTAACATATATTGCATTTCTAATTCTACTATTTAGTGCAACAGAAGACATTTCTTTTGACAGGAATATCAGCTTAGTCAGCAGATATTTGATTCTTCAGTGTTTGATTTTTTTCATTAGTTGAAGTGACTTTTAGTTTTGTTAAAATTATAACCAAACTATTTTCACATCATCCTGTAAGTTAAGTGATATCAAACATAAAAGACATGTTCTCATGTTTCTTTTTCTGACTAAATGTCTGATGCATATCATTTTTCTATAAGCAATCATTGCTTTTAAAATCAGAAGACTATATTATTCTAATGAACGTACTGGATCTAAATGGGTATGAGATTCTATATCAAAAAGATATGCTATGTGTTATTTCACAGAAACTGCAAACAGATTCTGTAAAACTGTTAGTATCAAAAAGAATAGGAATACATTTTTCTTGTCCACATTATGATCAAATAAATATAATGTGAGATTGTAAAAAAGGAAAAGAAATTTAAAACATTAGGCACTGTGGTGCATGCCTATAGTCCCAGCTACTTTTGAAACTGAGGTGGGAGGATCGCTTGAGGCCATGAGGTCAAGGCTACAGTGAACTGTGGTCACTTCACTGCACGTCATCCTGGACGACAAAGTGAGACATTGTCTCAAAAAAAAAAAAAATGAATTCAATTAATATGCATTGACCTGCAGGTAAATATACCACTGCATTTGATAAAATTCTTAAGTGAGAAAACGTAAGTTTTATTATTTGTATTTGATAAAATTGCTAAATGGAAAAACCAATATTTATCCTTTTAATAAACATATAGATAATTTATTCAATCATATTTCAAATAATATATAGAGTCCTATATTTGCACAAATAAAAAGTACAGTTTTGTATGTGAGTGCACATGTGTGTAATTTGTATGAACACAGAGGGAAGTGTAGATATAAAGCACTGAACTGTTAAAATTGATTTTTTCAGAAGGGTGTAATTTGAGATGCAGTAGGTAGAGAATGGGAGAGGCTGATGGTAAACTGTGGTATTCAGGAAGAATTGTGGGCATATCACCTGTCTGCAGTTGTGCACACACACCAGAAATTCTTTAAAATTGCTCATATTTTACATTATTTTCTATGGATTACCCACATGAACTGGTATTACCTTTAAAGTCATCTTCTACTTTTGGGTTTTACAGCCTGGGGAAAAAATCCACTTTATTTACGTGTTCTTTCCTTAGGAAGGGTTCACGGATACACTAGATTTAAAGTCTTAATAACACATAAAAGTCAAACCTTGAGGGGAAAGCTTTAGCCACTTTCAAAGACTTGCAGGCAAAACTCCCATATCCTTAATCTCTACTTAAACGAGGTCAGGGCACTTTTCACTATCTTTTAGGTCAAAATGGAAAAGTTGGGACATAGCCCTGACTCTGGTGGTCTTTTTCATTTATTCCCTGATGATAAAATAGGTCCAGAAAATCTCTTAAGCCATCATTTGGAAATGACAAAATATATATTAAACTTACCCCATTTTCAGACCACTCTGAAAAACTAAGTTGGTATAGTCCTGTCTTCCACAGATAATTCTTTTTTTTTTTTTTTTTGAGACGGAGCCTCACTCTGTCACCCAGGCTAGAGTGCAGTGATAAAACAGGTACCACAAACTTCTTA